CTGACCAGTGGGACAATCACAAGCCTCCCCAACTGCTTTCAATAAAGCATTTGGTCTGGCATCTCCAGGCATCCTTGGGTCTAATAGTTCTGATAAGGTGGAGATGTAAATCACCCTTTTAAACTTTGACAACTGGAATTCTTACATACGGTGAACTATTCTTTGATCAGAGCCATCTGTTTCTGCTCTCACCTAGAAATCATAACTCCTTTGTGACAGACTACTGAGCTTAACACAGTGACATGCTTTTCAGCAGGGCAACAACAGCATCTTCTGACTCCACTTTACAAATTTAGCCAGAGGATCTTGTGGAGGAGATGTTGGAATTCCTGAGCCTTTCTTTGCTTTCACTGTAGTCCTGATCATATTCTCCTCCAAAGCACAGAAGCAGAAGTAGTATTTCTTCTATACTCCTCACTAGTCAGACCTCATCTGGAATACTGTGTTCAGTTCTGGGCAACAATATTTAAGAAAGATGCAGTAAAATTAGAAAGGGTCCAGAGGAGGGCACCAAAAAGGATCCAGGGTTTGGAAACACTGCCCTATGAGGAGAGACTGAGGGAACTGGGCATGTTCAGCCTTGAGAAGAGAAGACTGAGGGGGGACATGGTATCCCTGTATAAGTACCTCAAAGGCTGTAACAAAAAGGAAGGTCAAGATCTCTTCTTGCTGATGCCAGAGTGTAGGACACGGAATAATCAAGTCAAGTTGCAATAACTCTGATTGAGGCTAGACATCAGGAAAACCTTCCTCACTGTCAGAGCAATACTGCAGTGGAACCAGCTGCTTAGAGAGGTGGCGAGCTCTCCCTCAGTAGAGCCATTCAGAAAGAAACTGGACAGCCATCTGAGTGGGATGGTGTAACTTGGTGTCCTGCAACAGCAGGGGGTTGGACCCTATGTCCTTCATGGCCCCTTCCAACTCTAGTATTTTATGATTCTATGATTCTGTGAGTGGTACTGTCTACCTCCTTACCTGATGCAGCTATCGCCATGCAGACCCAATTGTCTCTATTGGAGAGGATGGACAGATTTTGCAAATAGATTTTGCTCCATCCCGAATATTGATTCACTACTTTCTAAGGGGACTACAGAGAGAGTCTGTTATTCTGACCTTTCCCAAAACTTCAACTCTCATTCCTTCATGGTACCGGAATGAGATAGGCAATTGATGCCTCTGAGATCTAGGATTAGTCTATCACATCAAGGAAGTTCAGAATGGTCACCCTCCTCATTGTACCTCTCCTGCAAGGAGGAGATTTGTTTGCCTTGGTCAGCTTCAAGGATGCATAGTTCTGTACTACTATAGACCATGATTATAGATACTTCCTACACTTCCAGATTGGAAACAAGATTTTTCCAATTTTCTGCATTCTCCCTTGGGCTTTCAGTCCCCCCCACCCCCACCGCCCCGGCCCTTCATTAAACGCATAGCAGTGGTAGCACTAGCCTGGTCACGCCTGCATCTCCAGGGAGTACAGACCTTCCTGTATGTTGATGACTGGAATAAATATGAGTCATCTGCACCACCTACAAAATCTGGGACTTTGTATTAACCATGACAAATCCATTCTCTCCCCATCCTATTCCATCCTCTCCATGCTTCAATGCATCCTCAGTGAAAGGTGTCCTCCCACCATCCCAGTATCTGCACCGATCAATTTAGCCACCAAACTCAGCACCAGAGTGACCATTACAGCCCACAGAATACACAAACTGCTCATATTGATGGCTGCGACAGTGTTCTCCTTAGCAAGGCTCCAGATGTGACCCTTACAACAGTGGTTCATCCCTGTGTTCTGCACATTGGATGACCCATGCAAGACACCCTTTGATGTCTCCCCATCTGCCAGGAACAGCTACTCACAATTTGCCAACGGGTGACAGCTTCTCATCTCCAAACTCATCAATAATCAGCAGCATGGATGAATCACTATCAAGATGGGGAGCACACTGTTGCGACCTGAGAAGCCAGGGCACATGGAATCAACAAGAGGCCAGGAGACACAACATGCTGATGGACACTCTCATCCGCATGAGCCTCAACATGCATGAGTGGCCATGGAACACCAGAGCTCTCCAAGATATCTTCAGCACATGGAACAAGCCAGTATTCAACAAGCCAGCAGGCTGTTTGGCACAGCCTGCAACACAATCTTCACAAATTTTTGTTCCTGGGCAGGACAAGGGGCCAGCTCCCTGGGGGATGCCTCTGCCAGTTGGGACACTGTTTTGCCTCTCTTCCCCCATTTTATTGATCATGAGGTTGCCTGCAAATGTCAGCAGGGACAAGACACTGCATCTTCATGGTTTGCTCAGTGTCTGTGGCTCTGCTGTGCGTCATTCCTCCATCACCCTCACAGTCCAGGCTTGATATCATGAGATGGGGGCAAAATCTTCCACCCTGACATCAACACTTGGCATTGGTATGTATATCTGATGTATATGTATTACCTTCTTGATCTTAGTATGCTGATTTTATATTTTTGTAATATTTATACAAAGGTGTATGGCTAATGCAAATGAAGAAATGATTGTCATCATTACTATTAAAGCCTAAATACCGTATTTTTCTGTGTATAAGATGATACTTTTTCTTAAAAATATTTACCTAAAAATGGACGGGCGTCTTATGCATGGGGGGCTGAGAGGAGAACTACGGTTGCAAAACTGCCGATACCTTATCTCTGCAAACTAGCCTCACAAGCGAAACTTCTGATTGCGGAGACAAGCTAACAGGTTTCCTCCAATCATGAGCCTTATGTAACTGATATCAGCTGATGCTGTGGAAAGCATGTAGCCCAGGGGTCCTCAAACTTTTTCAACAGGGGCCATTTGAAAGGCGGCGGCGGCAGGTGCGGGCGCACTGGGAGTGGGGGGGAGACTGGCGCGATCATGGGTGCACTGTGGGGGAGACTGGCGTGATTGCAGGCACGCGTGCAGGGAGGTGGCGAGGTGGCGTCCATGGTGAGACAGCAGCTTGCTCGCTCGGAGATTGGTAAGAAAAGTGGGTGGTGTCCTATACATGGGGGCAACTTATAAACAGAGAAATATGGTAACAAATACATAAAAACACTATACACCTTATTTCACAGCACATTACAACATAAACCTCACATCCAGTAGCCCTGCTACAGGGCATCAGAACCATCCTTGATGCCACCCTCAACCAACAACAAGAAAGTTTTGTAGCCATATTACAACATTTACCACCTTTGTGCAACAGGAGACCCTCAACCTATGGGACACTACTATTGAGCACATCCTGCAGTTTCTACACACGCTCTTCCAGAAAGGGCAGAGTCTCCCTCTGCCTGCTCAAAGACTAGTAGCCTGGAGCACCATCTCCCCAGCCTATAAGCTGGCCGGTCTACAACTCTAAATTGTTTTTAAAATTGTTTTCTTCAAAGAAATAAAGTATGGGAAGAAAGAAAAAAAGTAAAAGAAAAATAAGATTGCTAAGGAATCTTACACAAATAAAACATTTATATTCATAACTGGCAAATTCCCAAATCAACCGATAATTTCTCTTTCTGTGAGTTAGTACTGTGTTGAGGCTCACAAAAAAGAGAATCTCTAAACTAACATTTTCCAATCACTAAATCAGTTAGAAATCATCAACAATATTTTTATGTTCTTTCTTTTGTTCTACATCAGTTAAACTGCATATACAGTGGTACCTTGGCTGACGAACTTAATCCGTTCCAGGACTCTGGTCGTGATCCAAATTGGTTGTGAGCCAAGTTGAATTTCCCCATAAGGGTCAATGTAAATAAAGTTAATCCGTTCTGCAACTATTTTTTTTACTCACAAAAATTTGAAGCAAAGTGACAACAACAAAGATCATGGCCATCTCCTCCCCGCCAGCAATCGTGCGAGGGGGGAGACGGGCGTGATTGTGGGTGCGCTGGGGAGGGAGGCGGGCATGCTGGGGGGAGGCAGGTGCACTCAGGCTAGGAACATGGGTGCAATCGCAGCCATCTCTCCCTCCCTCCCCCCAGCACGACCGCAATTGTGCCTGTTCAGGGAAGGCGGGCGCGCTAGCGATCGTCACCCAATGCAGAGTTCGTGACCTGTGGCAAAATTTTTATGAAATTTCTGTTTGTAACCTGATTTGGTCGTGAACTGAGACGTTCGTGAGCCGAGATCTATAATAAATTTATAAATTTATAAATAAATTTAATTCATAAATAGAATGTCTATCTTTTTTTCCCATTGGTTCTTCTGTTTACATAATTAGTTAATTTTGCTGGTTTACAGCTCTTGGCTTATCCAAAAGCCCTCTCCACACAAGCAATGGTGTCATCCACATGTCATACTTCTCGTAGGAATGCCTTTGCAGAGCAGCTGCATGGTCTTCATCATCCTCAATTTTCATCAAGCACTGCAGACTAGATGTCTCCTTTGGCAGGGCTGTAACTTTTGTAGCCCACTGTAACTTTTGAGATAGGTAGGGACACTGCTAAAAAAGAGTTCTGTTTTCCATATTTAATGGAAAAGGATGGACGTGTTCTTGTTAGATGCTCTGCAAGTATGAAACACAGATACTTCCATGAACACTGGTCATAGTTTCAATTTGATCAGCCTGACAAGATCATTCTATTTGGCTGCTGCATTAGCTAAATTAAGTCAGGCAAGGTTTAAATGTATTAACATCTCATGTTTTATAATACAATATTTAGTATGTTAAGACTGTTACCCATGTTAATTAAATCATTATCTAGCAGTTCTCAGCAAGAATCACAGAAAGCTATATTGTGATAGTTATACAAACATGAAAAAAATACTTTGCCTTACTGATGATTAGTAAAATCAGCCAAGAAACTTTATTACTTGCTGGGAATTAACTTCTTAGCAAAGAGTTGTGTTTTCATACATGTGTGCTAACTGAAATTGATCAATAAAGTATTCTTTTGAAGGTACATTCATGGCTGGTCAGGGCTTCCACTGACTTAGCAGGCCTTGGCATGATAGAAATCTGTCATTGTCCTCTCTGTGCAGGATGGTCCAGCAGTTTGCTGTGGACTTTGAGAAGAGAATTGAAGGCTCTGGAGACCAGGTAGACACACTAGAACTCTCAGGTGGAGCCCGAATAAACCGCATCTTCCATGAGAGGTTCCCCTTTGAGCTGGTCAAGGTAAAAGTGATGTGGGGTTTTCTGTACATAAAGGTGTTTATGTCTGTGTGAGAGATTTTCAGGCTTGATGGTTACCTGGGCTGTATCTGTTTTTCTCATGCATAATCCTTACTAACCAAGTTCATCCCAAAATGGGTCATAGTGGTAGTAAGTTTCCCCCAAGCTAAGCCACAATAAGTACTTCTGTATGTCTGTCTCACTTGTGGACAATCGTTAGAAATCAGTCCCTCAACAGCATCTTGTTGCCACTGCTTAGGGACAGAACAAATTCCAGCCGAACATTAGGAAGAACTTGGTGACTGTTAGAGAACTACAATAATGGAACCAATGACCTAGGGAGTTTGTTGGCTGCCCCACACTGGAGGCATTAAAGATGCAGCTGGACAGTTATCTGAGAGGGATGGTTTAATTTAGAGTCCTCCTTTGAGCAGGGGGTTGACCTGATGGCCTCCTTGGTCTCTTCCAGTTCTACTATTCCATAATTCTATAGAAACGGGAATGACTAAAGGTAGAACACTAAAGGTAGAACGCTTTTGACTAAAGGTAGAACACTGCAACTTTTCATGTCCTGGCTTGTTGTTGTTGTTAGTTGCAAAGTCGTGTCCGACCCATCGCGACCCCATGGACAACATTCCTCCAGGCCTTCCTGTCCTCCACCATCCCCCTGAGTCCACTTAAGCTCACGAATCCACTTAAGCTCATGGAACTTAAGTTTGACCACGATCAGCTTGCCTGGATTCATAGATCTTACATTCCAGGTTCCTATGGAGTATAGATCTTTATGGCATCGGACTCTCCTTTCACCACCAGATACAACTGCAACTGAGTGTCCTTTCGGCTTTGACCCAGTCGCTTCATTCTTTCTGGTGCTACTAGTACTAGCCCTCTGCTCTTCCTCAGTAGCACATTGGACACCTTCCAACCTGAGGGGCTCATCTTCCAGCGTCATATCTTTTTGCCTTTTGGTACTGTCCATGGGGTTTTCATGGCAAGGGTACTGGAGTGGGTTGCCATTTCCTTCTCCAGTGGATCAGCTTTTGTCAGAGCTCTCTGCTATGACCTGTCCATCTTGGGTGGCCCTGCATGGCATAGCTCATAGCTTCATTGAGCTACACAAGCCCCTTCACCACAACAAGGCAGTAATCTATGAAGGGGCTTAGTGTGAGGTTAAACTGAGTAAAGAGAAGAATGAATTAGTATCCTATTTCTCAGAAATTGAAGCAGTACAGTATTTGGTTCTCTGCATTCCTGATCTTGGGAGTTTCTTTCCTTGAGCAAGAAAGGCAGCCATTTTTCTTGCACTGTATAGCAGTAAGCAGGTAGAAATAAGCTTGTCTCTATATTATCTGTTTAAATGTTACAGTTAAACAGAGAGGATGGTGAAGATGTTTGTTAGCCTCATGGCTGTTTTGTCGAAGGCACTGCAAATAGATATAAGTGCAAGTGTACACTTTAAGAATTGCCTTATGCAATTCTAGTGCAATTGCCTTACAGAAATGTCTTATACCTGCATAAGGTTAAGTAAAAAATTCTTTTTTGCTAAGGCTTTATAACAAGTTAAAGAAGATTATTTTGGTTAGTTCCTCTTTATATTATTGGATAATGCTACATTTTATTGATTCTGGCTTTTATACACAAATCTTCCCCAACCTGGTGTCCTCTAGATGTTGGACTGTAATTACTATTATCATCAGCCAGCATGACCACTGGCCATGAAAACTGGAGATGAAGGGAACTGCAGTCTAAAACATGGGCACCATGTTGTGGAAGGCTGGTATACACAGATTTTAGAAAACAAAAGACAATTGCTGCTTACAGACTTGCCATTTAAAAAGCATGAGGAGAGGGATAGGGTCATCCATACATGGTTGGGAGACAAATTCTGCCAAGCATGGTCGGGTCAGTTGATTCCTGACATGTGTTGCCAGCAGCTTAGGGGAATGTATGAGAGGATCAGCTATCCTCAATTTAATACTGACTAACAGGGATGCCCTTGTGGACAAAATAATAACCATGGGAACTCTGGGGGAAAGTGACCATGTGATATTTGAATTCTCAATTCTAAAGAAGACAAATGGTAACTGGAGACAAACATGCATCCTGGACTTCAAGAAAGACAACTGTAACGAACTCAGAAAAATGGTAAGTGAAGTGCCATAGCAACACTCCCCTAAGGGAAAAGGAGTCTGAGAGGGGTGGGAAATCTTGAAAAAGAGGATTCTTGAAGCACAATTATGAACACTTCCATCAAGAAAAAAGTGTAGAAGACAGCAGAGGAAGCCCATGTGGCTCCACAAAAAGTTAAGTGACAGCCTGAAAGAAAAAAAGAACATTGGAAGCAGGGCATGGCCGCAAGGGAAGAATATAAACAAAAGCAAGGAATTGCAGTGATGGCATCTGAAAGACTAAAGCAGGAAATTAACTGAGAATAGCAAGAGATGCTAAGCACAACAAGAAATCCTTCAGATACATCCAGAACAAGAGACTTGAGAAAGAGAAGGGTGTCAAGCTGCTTAAAGTGAAAGGCAGAGTGATAACAGATGACAAGGAAAAGGCAGAGGCAGTCAGTTCCTACTTCACCTCAGTCTTTCACAAGGAAATCTAAAACCAAGAGGAAGTATAAGCTGAAAGTAAGAGATGGCAGCTCAAGATTGACAGACAAATGGTCAAGAAGAAGAAACATGGTCAAATCTCCAAGGTCTGATGAACCCCATCCCAGAATCATAAAAGAGCTAGCAGAGGAACTCTCAGAATCACTGACTGTTATCTTCGATAAATCTTGGAAAACAGGAGAAGTGCCAAATGACTGGAGAAGGGCTAACATTGTCCCTGTCTTCCAAAGGGGGAAAAAAGATGAACCTGGGAACTACTGACCAATTAGTCTGACATCAATATTGGAGCAAATTATTTCAAAATCCATCTGTAACCATCTTGAAGAAAATGCAGTGATCAATAGAAGCCAGTATGGATTTATCAAAAATAAATCCTGTCAGACTAATTTAATCTCATTTTTTGACTGGGTAACCTCCCAAATGGACAAAGTGAACACTGTGGACACAATCCACTTAGACTTGAGCAAAGGTTTCAACACAGTGCTGCATGACATTCTGATAAACAAATTAGCAAAAACTTGACTAGATGGAAAAACTATTAGATGGATCCAAAATTGGCTGCTAAATTGGACACAAGGAGACTCAGAGGGGATCTGTTGGTGACATACAGGTATGTGAGGGGATGTCACATGGAGATGGGTAGAGACCTGTTCTCCCTTGCAGAGGACGACAGGATGCGCTCCAACGGAGCAAAGCTCAGGGAGCCAAGGTTCCATTTAGATGCCAGGAAGCACTTCCTGACAGTCAGGACCCCGAGGGTGTGGAATGGGCTTCCATGAGAGGTCGTTGAGGCCCCATCGGTGCAGGTGTTCAAAGATAGGATGGACATGCACATGGTGGGCATGTCGTGAGCGGAGCCAGCTGGTGCCGGAGGTCAGACTAGATGGCCCGGGAGGCCTCTTCTGACTCGCTCTGTTTCTATGTTTCTATGAGTCTAGAAAGTAGGATTCTGGTGAATCAAGTCCTCATCATGGGGTGCATAATGCAGTGCGGATGGAATGTTTGGATATTCCACGGTCCACTTCTTTCTTGAGATTCCTTTTGCAAGTGGGGGAACCATGCAAAAATAGCAGTCGCTACAATGATTGGTGGGTTCCCTCCACATCACTGGGACTGTGAAAGGCATGGACATTTTCTTGTTTAGCCAACAACGCAGATAAGTTGCGCATGTAATACAACAATAATGAAAGGCCCAACTCTTGCCCTGATCCCCTATTTTGCATCCAAAATATAGGTGATAAGCCTCTTTTATCACTGCCATCATACTGCACTTTGAGATGCAAATGTAACCTTGCCACAAATGTAGCAGAAGTTATCTGCGTTGTTTCGAGGCATCTTGGCTTCTGAGGGAAAATAACATGCAACTGTTTCTTGGAAATGTTAGGCAATGACACTTTCACAAGCCACCAGATGTAACTGTATGATGTGTAGATCTGACCAAGATGAATGTACCTTGCAATAAAAGAACAATAAATTACAGTTAGGTAATAATCTTTAGTCTCAAACTGAAGATAAATTTATACACTTCCATGTGGAACCATTTTCATTGTTCTACTGTACTTGGTCGAAAAGTTACGAGGCGGCATGATCATCAGACCCCTCCCTCCAACTGAAGGCCAGACTGGGGAAAGTCTCCTGGGCTAGGTTACTGGAAGGCAAGGGAGTTGAGGAGGGGTGGATGGCACTGAAAAGGGAGGATTTGAAGGTGCAAGTTACCTCTAGTTAGTAAGACGGGGAGGCGAAGGAGAGCATCGCCATGGATGCAAAAGGAAGTGGTTAGAGGGATTAGACGTAAGAGGAACCTCTGTAGGAAATGGGTACTGGGGCAAGTAGACAAAAGAGTCTGCGTGGGTGGGGAGGAGGCCCATTGCAGAAGGATTCTTCGTAAGGCTAAGGCTGATTTCAAGCTGAGACTTGCAAAGAATATCGGGACCAACAAAAAGGGCTTCTATCAACATGTAAATAGCAAGAGGAAGGGGAGACAGGCAGTGGGAGCGCTCAATAAGGAGGAAGGGGATCCAATGACTAATGTGAGGGAACAGGTGCAGATGCTAAATGACTATTTTGTCTCTGTGTTCTCCCCAAAGCAGGATGGGGGAGATGCGCAAGGGAGACTAGACGAGGCCGGGGACTTAGGGGCACAGATTAGAGTCACCCCCCCTAGAAGTTGAGGGGCGCCTCAGGGCATTGGACATTGCAAAGGCGCCAGGCCCTGACGGGTTACACCCAAGAGTATTTTGAGAGTTGGCAGGGGTTCTCTCACGACCACTGGACTACATTTTTGAGGCCTCATGGAGAACAGGTGAAGTTCCAGAGGACTGGAGGGTGATGTCAGTGGTCCCAATTTCCAAAAAGGGTAGTAGAAGGGACATGGGGAATTATAGACCAGTTAGCCTTACGTCCATTGTAGGAAAAACAATGGAAAGGCTCATAATAGCGAAAGATCTAGTGGTGCTACATAGGGAAGGGAGACTGGTGGCCACACCACATGGTTTCCGCAAAAACAGGTCCTTCCAGACAAACCTTGTGGAATTCTATGACAAGGTTTCGAGGTGGCTAGATGAAGGGGATACAGTGGATGTGGTTTACCTGGATTTCAGCAAGGCCTTCAACAAAGTGCCCAAGGATATCCTGGTTTAGAAACTGAGGAGTTTTGGGATAGACCATCCACTCTCTGATGGATTAGGGCATGGTTGACTGACTGAAAGCAGAGGGTCACCATTAGTGGGGAATCATCGGGATGGCAGCCAGCGACAAGTGGGGTCTTGCACTTGGGGCATTGGAATGGGTGTCATAAGTACAGGTTAGGGGACAAGTGACTGGAGAGCAGCACTTGTGAAAGGGACCTGTCAGTACCTCCATTTCTTCCCCATCTATTTGCCAGGAAGTGATAGGACTGGATGCCATGATCTTAGTTTTCTTAATGTTGAGTTTCAAGCCAACTTTCCTTGGGCTATTATTTTCCCAGTTCCAATGTATGGTTGTGAAAGTTGGACAGTAAGGAATGCTGAGCGCTGAAGAATTGAGGTCTTTCAGTTGTGGTGCTGGAGAAGACTCCTGTGAGTACCTTGGACTGCAAGACAATCATACCAGTCAGTCCTAGAGGAGATCAATCCTGACTGCTCTTTAGAAGGCCAGATACTGAAGATGAAACTCAAATACTTTGGCCACCTAATGAGAAGGAAGGACTCACTGGAGAAGAGACTAATGCTGAGAACAATTGATGGCAAAAGAAGAAGAGGATGGCAGAGAATGAGGTGGCCAGATGGAGTCACTGAAGTAGTCGGCGTGAGCTTAAGTGGACTCTGGGGGATGGTGGAGGACAGGAAGTCCTGGAGGAAAGTTGTCCATGGGGTCACGATGGGTTGGACACGACTTTGCAACTAACAACAACAACAGTCTGTGTATCTGAGGTTGTTGATATTTCTCCTGGCAATCATAATTCCTACTTGCCCAGCCTTTCGCATGATGTGCTCTGCAGATAGGTTAAATAGGCAGTATGCAGCCTTGGCATACTGCTTTCCCAGTTTTGATCCAATCAGTAGTTCCATGTCCACTTCTCACTGTTGCTTCTTGACCCACGTACAGGGTTCTCAAGAGATAAATAAGATTGTGTGGGACTCCCATCTCTTTAAGAACTTGCCACAATTTGTTGTGATCCACGCAATCAAAGGCTTTAGCGTAGTCAATGAAGGAGAAGATGTTTTTCTGGAACTCCCTAGCTTTTTCCATGATCCAGCTTATGTTGACAATTTGATCTCTAGTTCCTCTGCCTCTTTGAAACCCTGCCTGTACTTCTGGTAGTTCTCGGTCAACATACTGCTGGAGCCTAGCTTGTAGGATTTTGAGCATCACTTTGCTGGCCTGTGAAATGAGTGCAATGGTGCGGTAATTTGAACATTCTTTGGCATTGCCCTTCTTTGGAATTGGAGTGTAAACTGACCTTTTCCAATCCAGTGGCCACTGCTGAGTTTTCCAAATTTGCTGGCATATTGAGTGTAGCACTTTAGCTGCATCGTCTTTTAGGATTTTGAATAGCTCAGCTGGAATACTGTTTCCTCCTCTAGCTTTGTTGTTGCTAAGACTTCCTAGGGGCCATTTTATAACTCCTCACAAAATAATTGTCTTCAAGATCTTGTTTACAGCAAGTCCATAAATAGTAATCCTTTGGCATAAAAAAAGAAAAAGAGCACATAAGAGAAGGAAAAAAACTTTAAACGTAAAAAGACAGGGAAGCAGTTTTATGGAAAAGATCTCCCCTTGTCAATGCAAATCTTACCATCTGGATGTCACTGGAACCCATAAAAATAGGTCCACCTGTAGATTAAGGTCCCCACATGGAGGGGTGAGAAGAAAAAATAACTCCTCCCCCATGTTTTTAGCCTGGAAATGCTTGAAAACATTCTTGGGAAGATCAGCTTCTGGCAGCAATCAGAATGTGCTACCTAGCACAAACCGCCATATTCTTCTCAATGTGTGTGGTTTTTTTATATTGTACAATAAAAGTAGTAAAACAGCAGTAAAATAATCCTGGATAATAGCAGATTACAACCTTAAGTGCTTTCAAAAATAATTTCAAAATAATATCACCTATTGTGAAAGTTGGGGTACTTCTGTTGCAAATAGTTGAGGTGCAAAATTGATGCAAAATCCTTTAGACGATCTTCCCTGGGTGTTGAGTCCAAAACCTATATAAGACTGTCCCTTGCTTAGCTGCACTGGCTTATCAGCAGTTAATAGCCTGGATCTGGTGTATTGGAATGAGCACTGTTTCCCATCTGCATTTCTTCTGTCCTCCAAAGTATCTATACTGAGTCGTTATTCTAAATATGTTTAATCTGAAATGTCAGATTGGTGTAGCTGGGGCAAGCACCTTAGCAATAGTGCGATTGGGAAGCATTGCAGATTGATTTCCTGAATGGTTCTGGATGGTAGTGACTTTTCTCCTCAGGCCTTTGTAAGAACACCTACATGTTCCCCTGGAGATGCGCTTGCTTTGTATTGTGTTTGTGTTTTAAAATGTAATCTTTTGTAATTGTACACTGCTGCCTACTCTGGTGGAAGATCCATTTATAAACCATAATACAGATTCTTATAGCCAGTTTCCTTTACAACCCAACAGCTTACATTTGAGGATTCCTTTCTCAGATGAGAAAGAGGAGTGTTTATGCTTACAGAAAACTTTTATCCTTCTCAAGGGAAGGAGAGTATTTTGGCCTTAGATTCTAACTTGGAATCTGTGAGAGTTGACTATCTGTAGTAGGAGAGATATAGCAATGAACACCAGAAGTTTAATTTAAAAATAGCTTATTTCCGAAGATACCTTATTATATCATGCTACCACCACCCTACCACTAGTTTCTTTTTAACTTACCATTTAGTGGCCCAGTTTATGGTTTTGTCCCAAGCTGAAGTATACACTGAAACTTGGTGGCTCTGCTCCCACCAGAGGGAGACAGAACTTGTCTCTGGGATTAGATGAGAGGGTAAATATTCTGCTCTTGGCTAGTATACCTTTGTGTCATGGACCTTGACATATATTCTCAGCAAGATAGCCAACAGTCATAGTTTCATCAGGGTCCAAGCATCTGTGAAAGCAGTGTGTGTGAAGAAGAAAGAAGGTTCCTCTTTGTTTTGAAGGTATTCATCTCTTGTGGTTCCATCTCATTGAGTCTTCGGCTCTTTTTCTTTTAGATGGAGTTTGATGAGAAAGATTTGAGACGAGAAATCAGCTATGCAATCAAAAACATCCATGGTGTAAGGCAAGTATTTGTACAATAGCTGATTTGATAGAGAACTGTATTAGCTTAAGCTCTGCTGATGGTTATCTCTGGCACTCAAGGTAATGTGACACTCAGTCTGGGAAGTCTTACTGATTGGTAGTGCCTCCTATTCCGCCTAATTAAAGAAGAAAATGTCTGTGAGAAGGTGCAAGGAAATAGTGATGATTATCACGCTGTCAGCATGCTTGGTGCCCCTATGGACCTAAAGAGAGAATGCCTCCTTTTTTGGGAAGAATTTGAATAAGAGGAGTGGAAAGAGAAAAGCCTAGGCTTGCGCATCCATTTGCAAGTACTCCTAACACAGCTCAGCTATACAAGGGAGAAAAATGAATAAGAACAGCACTTCTGATTGCTCAATTCAAACATCACAGCTTTCTTAATGAGAAGTTAGAAGCAAAGACGCAGTTAAGAAATGAGTGTTTGGGGGCTACACATGGGCTGTTCCAGTGTGCAGCTAAACATGAATATGGGTCAAAGATAGGATGCGTAGGCTAGGAGTTTGTGCAGTTCTGTTTTAGGAGAGGGATTTTACTGCTTCCACTTCTTCAATCTTCTTAACATTTTCTAGCCATTGTGGGTCCTACTCTCCAACACCAATATCCTCCCTGTGTTCTTTTGTGCCACCTATTTGACTCTCTACAAATTCTAATGTAGAAGGAACACTCCATAGGGAGAAAAACACACAGCCCTCTGAAAATAAGTACATTGCAAGATTCAGTTTTCAAGATGTCTTCCTGGAGCAGAGAAACAAACTTTTCATTTTCTGATACCCTTGTTCCTAAAACAAATGGGCTGTGTTATACGTATGATTAATGTGTGCTACTGACAGGTGGGAAAACGCTAGTTTCAGAGGAAGAAAGGTAGTTGTGGGGAGGGAATCGCATTCTAGAATGTTGCCAGACTTTAAACCTGTTCTCTCCCCCCACCCCAACCACCCTTTTTTATTTTCTTTCTCTGCTGTGTTGTTCTCTCCCTTCCTCCTGTATGTGGATGGCTGTAGGACGGGACTGTTCACACCAGACTTGGCATTTGAGGCCATTGTGAAAAAGCAGGTGGTGAAGCTGAAAGAGCCTTGTCTGAAGTGTGTCGACCTGGTTATTCAGGAGTTAATCAATACAGTTAGACAGTGTACCAGTAAGGTATTGAACTAGCTGGAAGCAGCCTAGCCCTTATGAATTGGGGCTGGGGAAACTTGCCAAAACCGCACTGTTCTAATCTGCCTACCTTGCTCAACGCAACCTCCAGGAATTGCTGCAAGCATCTTCTAAAATCCTGATTGGCTATTGTTGAGATGGGGACTAGTGAGATAGGAGTTTCACATGCTTCTAAAGAAGTGCTAAAATTTGGCCCAGAATAGATTGGATTACACTTGGCATTGTGTCTCACTGGAAGCAGGTTTGGTCTGTACCTTAACCATCCCTGCTTTCATCTTTTGCTTACAAAAACAAAACAAAAACCCTAATGTAAGTGAACTGGAAGTTGCCTGGGTCAATGGGCAGATTCTTTTTGGGTTCTGACCCTTCTCTAAGCGCATGGCTTCTTGATTTGCCATTTAAACCGCTCCCTCAACTTTTTTGCAAAGCCATGGCTAATAGGCAAAACGGCTGTTTCAGCAAATTAGCTTCACATGGAATAACTACCCATTTCCATTCTACAGGGCTTCTTACCTGTTAGAAATTACACTATTCCAATATTGTTGTTCACTCTACACAGTTTATTTCTCTGCTTAAAAGGTTACTTGTTAAGGAACTCGCCTTTCCCTGCCTTTATTTTTTGGAATCAAAAGCAGGGTGTACAAACTGAGGCTAAATGTTCATGTTGTCTGCATGCCTTCTTGGCAAGCACTACAATTATTAGCAAACTGCTGAAGGTGGCTCCTTTAAAGAGCGGTTTACATTGCTTGCTTGTTGCAGTCGTGTATGCTATAGGTTGGACTTAGGGTCTATCTCTGCCAGAAGAATTGTGTGCTTTGGTTGATGTAATGTGAAGAAGCCAGCACTTGCTCTCCATGGTCCTTCAAGTCCTACCTATCCAAATACTTTCCCTTTTGTCTCATAATTAATTGAGCAGTAATTTTCCTGAGCTGAAATAGCAATGGGCTTTGTACAGGAGCCTGTCCCCAAAAATACTGCTAGCCTGAACAGTGGGGAGTACTGAGCTATCACTTAAGCTGCTCAGTGTTGAACCTCAGAAGAGGTATATGTCAGCAGGGGGGCAAACTAGGAGCTGTGAGTACTTGAACTTATCACCATGAAGAACAATTGATTTCACATCCAAGGTCTGAGAGTCCCTTACCCGAGAGAGTGGCATTTCTTGCCAACTATCTCAGTCAGGGATACATGGTTGGACAAAATAGATAGACTGCAAGTTTTACTATGATGAAATACTGATCGTCATGACAGGTCCATGAAAGTTTTCCCTGCTGTCCATTGGCCCCAGATAGCTGCAAAGTAACTCCAGAATGTGGAAGACTGGCTCAGTTGTGGCCAAACTTTTTACCAAGTTTGCCACAAGGTTTTGACTGTCGTCTCCTGGTATAGCAAGCAGGTGTCTATACAGCCCTACAGGGAGACAGGATCTGTAAATTGGAGAAGTGTTCCTTTCTAAGAATTCTACAAATTTCTGCTGCCCGTGGCACTTGCCATAGGTTGGCTGCTCATACTCCAAGTTAGCTTGCCCTAACTTGGTGTTCTTGGGCTATAATTTCATGGCTATAACCTGGCCATGATGGCTAGGTCTAACTGGAGTTGTAATTCCAGACATCTGGAAGACACAAGGTTGAGGAAGGCTGCTCTGGATCAAACTGATAACTGTAGACCATGGGTCCTCAAACTACGGATCACGGGACGGATCCGGTCCGCCATGCCCATTCACCCGGCCTGCACCACCGGCCTCCGCCCGCACGCATGCTCATCGTGCTGGTGGGAGGTGGTGGCTTGCTCATTCAGAGATAGTTTTGGACTCTTTGGGAGATCTCCCAATGAGTTCGAAACCATCTCCAAGCGAGCAAGCTGCCTCCTGCCTTCCCCGCGCATGCATGTTCGCTGCTGCCTTGCAGCACAGGCTGGAGGCGGTGGCTTGCTCGCTCGGAGATGGTTTTGGACTCACTGGGAGATCTCCCAGCAAGCAAGCCATTGCTGCGCGCGCCCAATACCACCTCGCACGCACCCAACGATGCCTCACCAGCCCATGTGTGTAGCTGCCGCCTTTCAACTGGCCTCCTATTGAAAAAGTTTGAGGACCCCTGCTGTAGACCCTTGCAGGAGGACGCATAAACCCTTTATACTTTAATAGGGATGCAGTTTTGTCTGTCCTTGGTAGTTAGTAAGAAATGGGTTTTCATTCTTTTTGCCAAGCACCTCATACTGTGACTTGGAACACTTCATAAGGAGCAGCCTGTCAGAATGCAGTTTATTTGTCACAGTACTTAAAGAGAGTCTGAGCCCTGTTGAGCAGCTCACCTTTCAAGAGATCCTGGGAGGGAGTCACTCATGGTTGGCAGTTGGCAAGGCAAGAAGGATCTTCCTGAGGAAGTGCTGCTGCTTTTTCATTTACATGCTATTAACCTAATGAATCTCTTTTTCCCTCTCTGTTACTTTCCACCTGTTTTTCTTTGGAATCTCTCCTTTCTGTTCACGCTTTCTGCATGGTGCAGGACGGGGCTCTTCACACCTGACATGGCTTTTGAAGCCATAGTGAAAAAACAGATTTTAAAGCTCAAAGAGCCCAGTTTGAAGTGTGTTGATCTCGTAGTCTCAGAGCTGGCCATGGTCATTAAAAAGTGTGCAGAGAAGGTAATGGGTCTCTACTCTTCTTCCCCCTTCTCCATTTCCCAATTGCTAACATCTGAAATATGGCTGCTTGTGTTGCCCAGATAAAAGAAAAACTGAAGGCATTCAAGTAAGGGCAATCAGTGTCCATGCAAAACCTGAGTTCTACTAATTACCATTCTTTAAAGTACTCAGGGAATTATATCCTCTCCAGGGCACTTGAATCAGAATTCTCAGTTGCTTCCTTGGCTCCTTGGTTTCTAGAGAGTTTTTCCTGTGGGATCCTGAACTTGGATTGGCTTCCTGATAAAGTCCAGTAGTAACATTCCACAGCTGTTGATTAGACCATAGCAGCTGTAATTAAGCATGCTTTGAAAAGCAGCTGGACTTCAAGGGCACTTCCCATGACACAAGACAGCTTCTTTGAGCTGCTCTGTGGCAATAGAAATGGTTTCTGAGCTTTGAGTCATGAGAGGAGCTCTGGCATGGTAATAGCATGTTAGCAAGATGTAATCAACACTCTCTCAATGATTTGTGATAGCCCTGTATATTTAATAAGACAACAAGCAGCTCATTCTCCCTGTGGCACTAAGATACCAGCTCATTGTGCTCATTTCTCCTGCTAAACACCATGGGGATCTTGGGCTGTTTCCCAGAAGTAGGCCATGGGGGAGCATAACGCATTTACTAAGATCCTCCCCTCATCCCCCGCCCCCCCCACACAAGTAATGTTTTGGATCTTTATTGAAGTGGCAAAAAATCCATGTGCTTGATAAATCAGTCCTTCGGGAATGTAGAACTGGGAGGCAGCTCAATCCTCTTTTCTTGTATGTCCATGCGAATTATGCTGAAGGCTTCAGAGACATGATCTCTTCCTCCCCTTGTCTTCAGCTTGGATCCTACCCTAGACTGCGAGAAGAGACAGAGAGAATTGTTACTACATACATCAGAGAACGTGAAGGGAAAACTAAAGACCAGGTGAGCAATCTGTTTATTTACCCTTCAAATAATATTTGGGACTGCTTCAGAATAGTAGAATCTGAATCCAAGAGCACTTCTTAGCTGTAAATTATAGCAATATGAACACTTCCTTGTACCGGTTCCTTCAGTGTTTCCAGTGAGCTGGAACTGCAGTTACAGTGCCATTATACAGTAGGACCCTCGATTCGGTGCAAGGCAAATAGAACTGATTTCTCTGTTTTTATAAGGTCACAGTTTTGAAAGGTTATTGCCATTTCTCATAGCCAGCTAGAAAGGCCCATCCATCTGCATTTTTCTCCTTTGGTCCTGCTATGATTTCAATGGGTGAAAGATGCAGATCCAAACCTGGACCTGTTAAAAGAGGCATAATATTCTCTGTAAGCAGGCATTACTTCTTCATGAGTATGCTGCAACTTGCTGTATAAGTGAGAATCACTACTGCTGCTACTGACAGCATAAAGATGGACCAAGTCATATAAAGACGTCTAGTTGGGGGCACCACCTTGTAGTAGGCTGAAGATGTTGAGTTTGGGCCTTTTTAGATTAAATAGGATAGGAGAAATAGTCTAGCATCACAAATTCTAGTTTTTGCAGATACATGCCTTCAGGAGCCGTCAGGTACATTTTTTCCATACTTGTAATTATTCTGCACATCCCTGTTTGAACAAAAACAACAAGTTATAGCAAAAGATCACAGGGGTCACTTGGACCCAACAAATAAAATTACCCTATGGTGTGCATTCATAATGCAAACATACATCATTGAATTCTTATTCAAACACATATATTTGTGCGGTATATTAAGATATTGGGGTACAGTTGATTCCATTCACTATTTACTCTGAACCCAGCATTTTAGGTTTCTTTGTTTTCTCCTGCATAGCTTCCTGCTAGCCCAATGAAGATTGCCCAGTTGGTTGGTTATATCTTTCCCCCAGTAATATGTTACAAGTTCGTTTGTCCCTAACAAAACAATTGGATACTCAGCTCATCCATGGGTGCTCATCAAACCTCTCTGCATACATGCCTTTTTGGAGCTGAAATATAGGAACAAATTAAATGTATTTAGAGGAAAATTTCTAATGGAAGAAAGCCCAGTCTGAATTTTTGAGATTCAGTGATAAGAGACATGTTGCAATGTGAGGTCTAATAGACTTCAGTAATTTTGCATTTAAAACTGTACTTCTGGAATGTGATGCCAATGCAGTTTGTGTTTTATGTTTAACTAGAGTAATTTTGAAATTAGTGTAACTTGCTTGATTCTAAAGGGTCCATTAGCATTAAGTGGCAGATTGATAGTGTAAAACGTGGTATAGGAGGTTCAGGCAAGTCTGTGTAGAAGACATTGCTAAATATACAAGGGTGGACTAATGGGCTCATTCTTACAACTTTCTGTCATATCGTTGATCTAGATTTGTCTTCTTTCCTTTCTTTAGATTCTTCTGTTGATTGACATAGAGCTTTCTTACATCAACACTAACCATGAAGACTTCATTGGATTTGCCAAGTGAGTGTCTCCTACCAAGCAAACTCCAAGAGAGACTGGGAAGCATTATGTGGCCTGGATAGTGTGTCACAGTTAAGAGAAGTTCTTCCCAGGTAGCAGAGAGCATTTTATAAATCAATGTTTGTCCTTTGGCTGGATCAAGCAAGAGTTAAGAGTATTGAATTGATTTTTGTTTCTTAATGCAGAGGTGCTCTCTGTTAATACATATCTCAATACTGTGATCAAATGAAAGTGACTAGAAGCTGAAGCTAGTCATGTTTGACTGATACCAAAGTTGCATTTTTGAG